GTCGTCGCCGTGCATCTTGACGAAGCGGACGGTGTCGTTGCGCTTGGCGACCTCACGCATGCACTCTTCGACATCGAGGTTGATGTTCGACTATATGAGTTAGTTGATGCAGTGTGTTTAAGTTTCATCTCAACATACCTGGGAGTCATAGATGAAGACGACAACGGTAGTACCCGACGCGGTCTTGTCGACAGCATCGAGATACCCCTCACCATCCACCAACGGCATGCTTCCATATATCCTCCGGCTGGGGCTGTTGGTCCTCGACCGTATCCTCTCGCCAACATTCTGCAGTTCCTTCAACCTCGCCTCACGCCATTGGCGCATGAAGCCCTCGTCGACCTCGTCATCACTGCTCGATGTCTTCTCGTCGTGATAGGCATTGACGTTGTACTGTGCGGGTGCGGCGTTCTTCTTCCATGTGAATCGGCGTGCTTGCTTCTTGGCCTGCTCAAACGCCTGGGCGTCAGCAATGACACCCTTGGGCCCCGTGTTGGCCTCTGAGCGCAGGTTGGGCATGTAGTAATTCGCCCTCATGTCGGCTGGGATGTCGAGCTCGTCGTCGGTATCGATCTTCTCGAGGTAGTCGTCGGCGGCACCAGGGGATTCCGGGTCGGAGAGGTCGGAGTCGTTGTGTCGGTCTTCGGGGTGGCGGTCTTCGCGGTCCTTGTCTCGGATCAGTTCGTTGAATTCGTCTTGAGCGGCTGTAGTCATGACGGAAAAAAAAGAAGAGCGGGACCCGAATGACGGGCGCCGGACTGATATATGTGTGGAGAAGGGGGACGGTCAGCGTCAGCTGTTTGCAGAGTCCGTGTACAGGTCCCGGTGTCTGGTGACGCGTTGGTCTGTGGTGGGCAGAAGGAAAGGGAGTCGTTGCAAGGTTGGGGTCGGTCGTCTGGGATGGTGCTCCGCTAGATGACAGGCCTTGGCGCGCGTGCTTGCAGGGCTATTTTCGAGTACGCGCTGGGGTTTCAGCGATGCAATTGGACGCGCACGGGAGAATTCCCTCGAGGATTCCAACGTGCGTACGTGGATAACGTGGTCGCAGCGGTACGGTGTGTAGGGGTGTGCTTGGTAGGTGCTGTTTTAGGGCTGATGCTGACCGGCCGATTTCACGATGCATTAGACGCCCGCACGGGGCCGCATCGCACTTCATTGGCGAAGCGCAAAGGCATGTCGGCCTTATGAAACAGGATGCTCGAGTGCGAAACACGCTCACCCGCCTGTACACCGCCCAATCCAGGACCCGCGGGTGGCGCGCAATGGCTTGGGGCGCCGCGTGAAAGCCTGACGACTGCTGAAACACCATGCCGAACTATCTTGCTACACGCCTCCTCGACACGTCTGTCGCAGCATCAACCTGCCCTATCCTCGCTGCTGTTTGGAGGCTACACGTCACAATGACCTTACGCCTCTGCTAACCCTCTCATGCGCTCTGGATGTTTCAATCTCCTCGAGGCACCAACTGTCATGCAGCACCAGAGTTCCATGGCACCGCCGACCAAAAGGGGCCGAGGGATCTCTCTTTCGGTCTTGTTTGATATTCTCGTCCCGGCCACATCCCGGATGCGAGTCCCCCGGTGCACATGCAATGGAATCCTTCTGTGCTCGCTTCTAGAAGCATTAATGCCATCCATCGCGTTCCTATTCTCCGATCGACTCCTGCATCGGCTGAGGCGCTTCCTTTTGTCGATTCCAGGGTCCAGTTGCCATGCAGCCTAAGATTGCGGGCATTAGCTGAGGCACGTTAATGCCAAAGACGATGGTTCGATACATTGATTTCTCTTCGAAAATAGAAAGACGTTGCATAACCGCCCGGGTGAAAGTAAAATACGACGTGGCTCCTGCGTCTTCTGCTCGGTCGCTCTGCTGTCATCCATGAAGATCACAACCATAATCTATCAGCCCTGCCCGACGAACGCCTAAAGTACGGTCACGCTACCATCACCGCAATAAGCTCTGATCGCTGATACTCCGGCTTGTCACTGCTTGTCCCGGAGTGACGTCCGGATGGGCAATTGGGGTCCCCTGGGCAACCTAGTCATATGCATAACGGTGTGCGCGCCACTAGATTCGCGAGCGGGTATCATCCCAGGTGGTGCAATCACCTTGGAGCTGTTAATGCCTCGCACAATGGCCTAGGCCAGAATGCGAAAAGTAACTTCTACCGCTGAGGCTACAGTAACCGCTAAGAGCGCCGAACAACAGCTGCAACAAGGTCTAGAAGGCACGTTGACGTTGATTACTTCTTTCACGAGCTGACCTGGACTGAGCGCGCTCAAACCTTGGAATGCTCGAGACGTTCCAAGGTTCATGGAAAAGACAATATCAGTCATCTTAACATCATGCAAAAGCGTTCGATAAACTTAAAAGAGGTATATAGAAACTCGCTGACTACCGACTCATCCTTCACAACCCAATCAAATCGTACACATTGAAAGCCCATGCGCCAGAAAGCCATGATCCGTCCATTCAGTCCCCCTCATCCATGGATTCTCCAAAACCATTTGCACGTAGTAGAATCCGAAACATACAGTAATGAAGCTCCCCGTCTTGCACAGCCCCATCTCTTCCCACGCAAGTGCAAGTACAATCGGTCGCTTTTAATGATCAGGCAGAACGCAAGGAGACTATGTCGAAGGTTGATGTAGATAGGTGCTACTCATGTACGTAGAACAGCCGGCCCGGACATGAAGACGAGTGTGAGCAGTATGCTCGCACCGTCGAGAAAGGAATAGAACAGTGGTATGAAAAGAAAAAGTAGTTTGAGCACAAAAAGATTCCGGGCGCCGGGACATCAGTTGGCACCGTAGCCACATCGACGATTCCAACAGGTGCGAGTATTATATTCTTAGAGTATGGCAGCGCTCAGTCTCCTGGTTGATGAGATGCAGCAGGGGTATGGTATGCCAGGAGTTGCCGAGATCGCTGTCGTAGGTTGTAGTTTGCCAATATTACGGTAAGGCGCACACGTTCGGATTGGCGTCGTTACATGGCGTCGTGGAAGTTCGGGAGGCTGATGGCACTTATGCCCAAATGCGCAGCTATGCCAAGTCAGTTGTGTGATGCAGACGGGAGCACGAGAGAACCTACCATTGAGTCCCATGAACCAGTGCATAGACTGAGCGCGTCGTTGCTAACGCCGAGACAGCTGACGCGGTTGTCGTGTCCTTGCAATGTGCCTACGCGTTCGCCGCGGAGTACGTCCCAAACCTGGATATTATTAGACTGTGGAACCTGTGGGGGCTGCGCTGACTGCTTACCTTGCACTCGAAGTCGTCGTAACCAGCAAATAGCAGTCTTCCGGAGACGGAGAAGGCTACGGATGTGATACCGCAGACGGGCTCAGGAATCTATGGCAGACATTAGTAATCCAAATGCCAAGAGTGCCAGATATGTCAGCGGGCGTACCTGGTATGATGCGAGCTCGCGGTCGGCGCGGATGTCGAACAGACGGCAGGAGGCATCGTCGGAACCGGTACCGAAGGCATTTCCGTTGGGGAAGAATTGGATGGCGTTGATGTCAGAGTCGTGCGCGGCAAAGGTCTGCACGCACTTCTGCTGTCTGATGTCCCAGAGCTTCGCAAAGGCGTCGCAAGCACCGGAGACGAATTGGTTGTGGTCGAGCGGATTGATGCTCAAGCTCATTACATCACCGAGATGGTCGGCAAATTCGTGCACCTTGGAGCCAGTCTCCAGATCCCACAACACACAGGTCATGTCACCGGATGACGTAAGGATGCGCTTATCACTGATGAATCTGCAGCAACTGAGGTAGCCCGAGTGGCCGGACAGCTCGCGTGCCACGCGTGTTGGGCCTTCCCGCGCCGACAGGTTGTAAATGGAGCAGATATTATCGAGACCACCACAGGCGACGTAGTTGCCGGACGGGGAGTAGGCGCATGTCATGACCCAAGACGATCGCAGAGGGATGGCGTGGACCTTGTTGGTCGTGTAGGCGTCCCAGATGATGAGCTTTCCGTCCTGCGAGGCGGAGACGAGATGTCTGCGGTCCGTGGACCAATGCATGGCGTAGATTTTAGCCAGATGGCCCTTGAGGGTGCGCTTCGTCTTCATGGTGAGGCGCGGCAGAGCCTCGACACGGTCTCTGGCGACATCGCGAACTGCGCTCTTGTGTTAGCCGTCTACGAGGTTCCGATGCGGTGAGCACGCCGGCTAGAAAAAGAACATACGGGTCGTGTCAGCGAGCTCATCCTTCTTGCGCTTTATCCTGTCCTTGAGCGCCTCAGCGTCGCGGCGGGCGAGCTGGATCTTCTGCTGGATCGTTTCTTGGTTCATATCGGCCATATATTAGTGGTGTGCTGGTGGTGAGGGTGTTGTCGCGAGCGGCGCGAAACGGCGAGGCAGGCGAATCCAGGGGCCTCCTAGGGAGCGCGGCAGCCGGAAGCGAGAGAGAGCGGCGGCAGGAGCGATGGACAGGCGGCAGCAATGGCTAGACGCGCGCAGAGCAGAATCAATTGCTTGCGCAGAGGGAGCGGCGGCTGGCAAACGGTCGTGGGGGCGTGAGGATGGAAGGGTGAGTGCTTGGAGATGAGTGAGGTACAGGAGCGGCCCGGGGTGAGCTTAGCTTGGCCTAGCCGAGCAGCGAGCGCTGGAGATCAAAGGGCGGTGCTCCGCCAGTCTGTCGCGAAGATGCCCACTGCAAACACCTGCCGTGACACGTGAGCGATGTGAAGGGGCGGCAACGTGAGAGAGCCCTGCGTGCTGTCGGGTCGGGTGTTTGCACAGCTGGAGGCGCGAACGTGGTGTTGCTATGCTCTGCTCCTGTCCAGACCTTGACGAAGAAGGCGCGCGCTGCAATCTCCTGCAGCGCACCTCCTCCTTTAGGCGACGGACGAATGAGCAGCGAGCAGCCTCGGCTGGCACTATGACCCGCGTCCGCCGCTATACCCCCCAGGCCTCCTCCTGAAGTCTATTCACCTTTCCATTATCGCTTCGAGAACCATCCCCACGCCACCAATACCGCCGTGTTCCCCAGCATGGCTGCACTCCCCATCGCGACTGCACACGACCTGCCCGTCGACGCTGCCTTCACCAAGGGCCTGCCCAAGATTGAGGTACTGCTCCAGCCTCCTCGGTCCCTAGTCATCGCGCCAAGGACGCTCAGACTTCCGTTCGCTGCTGCTAATGACGCGACTCAGCTTCATGCCCACTTAACCGGCAGCATCAGTCGCGACTGCCTGCACGCCATATGGGAGACAAAGAAAGCACGGCAACCTGACTTCGACCTCGAGGACCCCTTGGTCGCCATACCCGCGGGCAAGGTCGACTACGATATCAAAACGTAGGCCTAGCTCGATTTGCTCGTCGTTCGGAATTCTCGCTGTAACACCGGCGTGCCGTTGGGGATTCATGGGCCAAGACGATCGCGCAAGCGATTTCGCGGCCAATATTCCCCTGACAAATGATCGCTACCCGCTTGGTCGTCCCAAACAACTGGCTCACCACGCGAAAAATACTAGCAGACGTCTGACAGCTAGATTAGGTTCTTCCCGCTGTTTTCGTCATACATCTATCGCCTTTGCAGTGATTTGCCGAGCATCCAGTATGTCTGTCGACATGGACGTCTATGGTGAGCTGCGGTTGATCAATCTAGGTACTCCACCAGGGCTGTGTTGCAAGACTTCCAGGATGATGGGGTAGTATACGTTGAGCTTCGAACGACCCCAAGAGCGATTCTTGGAGAGGGCGTAACCAAAGATGATTATGTGAAGACCGTTTTGGACATACTCAATGCCCATAACGACGATGCTAGCAACACTATGCGAGCTTTCCTCATACTGTCAATCGACCGTCGCAACAACATCGCAGACGCGGAAGAAGTCGTGGATCTCGCCATCAAGTATCAGTCCGCCGGCGTTGTCGGTGTCGACCTCTGCGGCGACCCAGCGAAAGGTGACATTCGCATGTTCGGCGACAGCTTCGCCCGGGCAAAGGCTGCAGGACTGAAGATCACGCTGCACTTCGCCGAGAGCGAAAATTCTTCCTCGGATTTGGAGTTGCAAACACTCCTGTCATGGCAACCTGACAGACTGGGTCACGTCATACATGTCAAAGATGAGTTCAAGAAGACCATCGAAGAGCACGGAATCGGCGTTGAGCTGTGCCTCAGCTGTAACATTCATGCTAAGATGATCACGGGCACTTACTCGGACCACCACTTTGGAGTGTGGCGACACAGCAGTGTTCCCGTCGCTCTGAGCGTACGTTAAGCTGCAGACCACGCGTGTTTCTCGTGATGACTGACGCCCGGCAGACGGATGATGTAGGTGTCTTTTGCAGTCCGCTCTCACAAGAGTACTACCTCGCGGCGCAGCATTTCCACTTGGACCGAAAGGATATCAGAGCACTTTGCGAGCGAGCCGTTGAGTCGATCTTTACGGGTCCAAATGAACACGCCCGTCTTCGGGACATGTACGCATCTTGGAACAGATGGGATATATGAACTACGACCCAAGCATCAAACAGTCATTCCCTTGATGGAACCTAGTCATAATGACTCCGGTATATGACCACAATTATTCTGCCACGTCTTTCGCAATAGTCATCGCTGAGTGCAAGATCTTGCAATGCATTCTCCTTCTATTCTTCCCACAATCTCTCTCATATGAACACTACTACACATCGATTGACTACGCAACAACGCGCCATACACGCTTGCACACCCACACGGCCTATCGCACACTACCGAGCTACGGTCACTATTGCCGGCCACTCGGGCTTCGATCTTTCACGCCGGCAAGGACGTTCGCAGCTCCAGCATGGCTATCATCCCACTGAATAGCGTAGTCTTCACGCTCTTCTTGATCCTTTCTCTAATCGCCGGGACTGCTGCTCAAAGCTCGGCTCAGGCTGGTACCGACACCTCACCAAGCGCATCACGGGCTTCTGTGCAGGCCTCCTCTCAGACCTCTCAGGCTACTTCCCCGCCTTCTCAGGTCGCCTCTCAGACCACTCAAGCTATCTCTCAGGCCGCGTCGCCAAGCACTACTCCGACAAATTCACAAGCTGCCTCCGCGGCGCCCATTGTAGTCCCCAACGTCGACGCGGACAAGAATTTCGTGATCGGCAATACTTGTGACCCCGATCAAAAGAACATCATCAAAACCGCCTTTGTCGGGACTGGCACGTTGGCCTTTTATGGAAAGCTAGATTGGTCAAATGCCAATCTTGAACAAGACCTACCCTTCGTCGAGTATCTTGGTACTAGCGCTATTCCAAATGCTAGCACAGTCGAGAGCGTGTTTAAGGACTATGCAAGCGCAACCGTGAGTGCTGCTTGGAAGATCAATGCGGTTTGCGACATCAAGAACGAGACAGCGGCATGTCAAAGTAAACACGTGTATGGCGGCATAGGCAGCGAAGGCCCCCGGGTGGACCTCAACCCTAATCTCTACTTTTGTTGGGAGTACTTCCGATTCCCTCCTCTGAATGAGGCAGTACAGATGGGTCTGAGCGATTCAGTCGACTGGACGCGCCGGTTCAATATGGGCTCTTATCATGAGAACCAAGGTACGGGAATGCCATCTCGAACATATCCACATTCACCCTATACTAATCTACCAATAGCTTCCGCACTCTTGCGAGCTTTGCTCAACTATCTCCCACAACGAGAGGGCTGGAACCGGCATATCTCCAACTTGTGGGTCTACATGCGATATGCGGGTGGGGCGAGCAAATGGACAGCTTGCTATGGTGTATACTGCACTAAGCTCCTAGCTCAGTTGGCCGACAGTGAAACATGGGGCATTCTTAATGGTATGCATTTGACAACACGAAGAACTCTTACCCGATGCTGACGGGTATAGCCGATAACTATGCTCTTTTTGCGTTGCAGAAGTACGTTTCTCATCAACTTGGGGAATCTAACAGTCTTGGAGCATCCAACTTCCCATGGCTTCCTCGTCTCGAAGATGGTCCAAATCCCATCATTCGGTCTCTTCTTTTGGGAGATATCCAGACCTTCCAGGCGACTCCGGAATTTAGCGCAGAGAGTGATTCCCAGTGGTATTACGACGTCGAGCGATACCAGAAGACAGACATTTTAGACTTCAAGGATCAACTTCCAAAAGAATCTCAGGCTGATCTAGAGAATGCGCCCTGGTCCTTTGGGGCCACCACATCCGGTTTTAAAGCACTTCGTGACAAGTTCCTGAAGGTGTTCAACGAAGCAAAACAGAACGGCATGTCCAACCTGGGTGCATCAAAAGAATACACATGTTATCGCGAAGATAAATCCGCGTTCCCGGACGCCATAGCCTTTACATTTGACGAAGTGCAGAGTGAATTGAACTACTTTTGCAAGAACAAAGTCAACGACTACATGCTTGCTGGCAAGCCTCTACATCCGCGCATCTTCCAAATCGATAAGGAAGTCGAGTTGTATACACCACTCCCGGATGGTACAAAGGATCTAGTCTACTATGTCTCCCCAGGCCCTGATAGCTTCATGACAGGGAAGAACTTATCTTTATATTTCGAAGGAATACAATCTGACGAGAAAGCTTCGCATTGCATAGCAACATACAACGACCTCATTACACATGTTGGTTGTTAATCTCCACAAATGCTTGCGTCCTATACTAACAAACCCAGTGCGATGGAGGAGACAGTGACGACAAATATGGTGGCTATCTCAAGATCAACGACATGGTGCGTTGTTTCCCCTTGGGTTTGACCGAACGATAATGCTATGATGAATCCTCGAGAGTCGCACTTAAGAACCATTATTGACGCACTTGCAGATCTTCGCCGTAGGCGCTATGACGCCTCCATCAGCCCACTGGGACATACCACGGACCTTAGAATCCAAATGCACGGAATACAATGCCACGAGTGCATGGCGGGTCGCACCCTTTATCGATATCAACGATAGCGAACGTACGGGGCGGCTCTGTACGTGTTGGTTTGGTAGCAACCCCATGGGTGCGGCTATGGTCTGTAAGCAACCGGGGAAGTCTTGCGCAGATGTTTGGAAGCAGCAAGGCGCTACCATAGGCGGCGGGATGAGATGCTAGGGATGCACATGTATGGGGTATAAGAGTCTTTATCTACACGACGCTGGAGTACATTACATCGTATGCGGTCCGTATTAATGACACGAACCGCGAAACATCCCAACTCTCACTAAACCAGAACTTGAACCACCGGCCAGTCACTCAATACCAACGTCTAGTCATAACGACTCTGCTATGACAGAAATCATGCTTCCACGTCTTACGCAACAGTCATCGGTGAGTATAAGATTCCGTGTCGCGGTTCTCTCTCTCCTTCCTACAATATCTTTGCGATAAACACCATCACGCGAATACAAAACCGCCAACATTACCTCACATCTTTGCTATACCTGCATAGTATATCTATCGCCCTGCCATTTCACGGCTGTTCCTCTCCTCTGCAACATGTTCAACGCCATCAAGAAATTCCGCTCGTTAGCCACGTCAATGTTTAGACCGAATGGTCTGATCCTTACGATCTTCTTGGTTCTCTCTCTCATAGCGGATGGCGCCGCGCAAAGTTCTTCGCAGGTAGCCTCTGCAGTTTCCCAGACTGCCTCGGTGGCTTCTCAGGTAGTCTCCGCTGCTTCTCAGGCTAGCCAACAAGCGTCCTCTCAAGCAGACTCACAATCACCCTCCCAAACTCTCGCACAAACAGGCCCTCAGCCCTCGGCATCAGTGCTCCCATCCACTGCCAAATCCATAATCTCCTTTGAAGATTCATGCAAGGCTGAGCATCGAGACATGCTTAACAACGATTTGAAAGATGTTATGGATATGGCCAACGTTACATTCAAAAGCCAAACAGCCTACACGGACAACCCAAACTTTTGGCTGTACTTTGGCAAAAGTTCAGTCGAACACATCCCGGTCATCAAGAGTGTTTTTCCAGGCGTGCTGCAACTTTCAGAGCCAATTTCGGTGGAGTGCAACTTCGACGGCTCAGCTCCGTGTGACGAGCGTACCAAATTTCCGGGCATTGCCAGGACAGTGGTTGACACACAAAAGAGGGACGGCATGCAAGGTCAACAACCGGGGCTTGTAATCTGTCGCGAATACTTCGGACTCCCTCCACTGAACCATAGGGTTCAGATGGGTATCAATTCTCCCACTAATCTTACGGCTCGATACAACTCAGGGTATTATCACGACAATCGAGGCGAGTAATTCAACAATTTTACACTTGCCGCTAGATCACTGACATCGATCAGCTACTACCTTGCTGCGCATGCTGGTCCAGTTTCTTCCTACATCGAAAGAACTAAAACGACCCATCTCAGACCTTTGGGTTAACTTATGGCAAGATTCTCCTGGCGGAGTCAAGGAATCGTGGTCAGCTTGCTATGGGGTACTCTGCGCCAAGGTTTTGGCTCGAGTTCACGACAGCTCTAACGACTGGGGAGCATTGAACGGCATGTTCACCATATCCTGCATAAGTGCCTGTCAAGCTGATCGTTTCTAGCGGACAACTATGCTCTTTTTGCCCTGTCCAACTATGTATCGCAGGCTATCGGCGGCACGGTTCCTTACTTTCCTAGAATTGATAATGATCCATCTTTCGGCAAAATGGTCGTTCCTTTCAATAACGAAGAATCTGCCCAAATCCAAGTAAAAGGCTGGTTCCACTGGCGCGGACTTTCACAGCCGAACTACGACGCTTCTCTACTACAACCCAATAAAAATGATTTCGATATTGGGACTAAGCTTGATGAAGAACGAAAGGCCGATATACTAAGCGCCCCGTATTACAGAGACCTCCCAGACGAGTCCGTAAGGGGCAAGGAGGACTCATGGATCGGTACCTTTGTAGACGCCCACAAAGACCAACTACTCAATACGGATGCAACGTCCGACCGTACTTGCTTTGGTGAAGGCCATGCACAGTACCCTAATGCCAAAGAATTCGACGGAGAGGAGGCAGTTGGCTTTGCCCAACAGTTCTGCGAAGACATCATCAAGCACTGGGACAAGACGACCCCAATTCCACCATCTGTGCGCGATACATCGGACTTCCGTAACGCAAGTAGGGCGTACAAACTCACAAAAACAAACGCTGACTCGCATGTTGGATTCTTTGCGGTCGCTGATCCTGCGTTGTTCATACAAGCTCGAACCACTTGGCACTTTTTTGAAGGAGCGACGGACGACGACAAAGTCGACCACTGTCGCTTAACTTACAAGGATGTCATACGCAATGTAAGACATCAATGCATTTCCATGGCAATATCAGTCCAGCTACTAATCGACCCAGTGCGATGCCGATCCCACTAAAAGACGTGGTGGCGTGCTCAAGCTCAACGACCGCCTCTACGGCGTCTACGTCACACCGGATGAGCGAGAGGATAAACTTCCCTGGCTCACAGATTACACTGCTCTCGGTGATCTCAAGTGTGCGAATTACAATGACACAAGCCACTGGCATATCAAAACATCCATCGAAGGTACATCGAAGACAAAGTTACCTGTTGACATCACCGACAAGGAAAAGTTGAGTAACATCTGCTCATGTTGGTACTCTGCCTTTCCATTCACTTTCGATCTGTTTTGCAAAGGTTCCGCGTCTAAGTGTGAGGATTTGGCGAAGGACGACAAGAGGAAAGCGGCGCTTTGGGACGATTTTGCCTGTTCATTGTAGGGATATGCGATGTCTTCAGGGTGGTGTTGCGAGGCTGAGTTGTATCTTACAGAATGGCCGGGTGCGATGCAACTATGCGATATCACTCAGAACCCGTCCACGTTAACCTAGGAAACTGAACACCCTGGAGCCTACATCGACGTCAGCTTACGTACTTTGCGTGCTTCTATCGTGATGTAGTCTACACTCCTGGTATATGCTTTTTCTTGAATGAAGTGCGGCTGTCTCATGTCCGCATGACATCGACGTAGAGCTCCTTCCTGTCTGGAACGTCGTGCGTTTTAGCGTTGCGCTAGTGGAAATGATGTTCGCCGGCGTCGGCCACGTCTGCCCCTCCGTCCATCACCTCTGCACCCGCAGGTACTCACACATCACGTCTCATCAGCCACTTCACAAATGCGGATACAGCAGCATAACATCTTGCCACTCGACTCAACTTCGAACATGGCGCAGGTGCCGATGACTTCGTCATACTCGCGTGCGCAGCGAATTCACCTCGGCTTGTAGAACGATGGCGCAATACGGGGTCACGCTTGCAGCCACCACGCTTGGAGCCAGGTACCAGCCGTCCTTGGTTCAGGCACGGCAAACGGCTGGGCATGAGGACGCTACGAGCGGTTGTGGCAATGTGTATGCTATCCCTCATGCATCTAGTTTTCCGAGGTCGCATTGACGGATTTCTGCCAATGCCGCGCCATGATTGGAAGCTTGCATTCTAATACGAGTACCGGCAGGAGGAGGGTGTAGGACCCGCTCGGAGCGACCCTCCCTTCTGATCCTTCACAACTGCTGCGGATACTAGTAACGCGGAAAAACAACGTCCATACAGTAGACCGAACAGCGCCAGCACATGTGTGCAGGAAGTTGTGGTCCTCCTGCAGCAGGATTCTAGGTTGATTAGTATTCGACGAGCGGCGCTGGAGCTACCTGAACTTCTACCACCGCGTATTTACCAATGGTAAAGACCACGAGGATTGATCGCTTAGAAGCAGCTGGACCCTTCTTGATCAGCGACGAACCGGCAAAGTTCCTTGAGTCATAGGGATTTTCTACGAGTCTAGACACTGTCGCTACGCTCACAAGTTCAACCCTGGGGAGCTGCCAGTGACGATCACCACGATTAGCACGCATATCTACTGGCCATTTACCTGGACTACGAACAAACACCAGAATAGGTGGACTATGCCCTTGTAATTCCCGAGCTCGCCAAGAGGGTAGAACGCCAAACTACCGGCACTACAAGAAATTCGGCGAATAAAGAGAGCCATCGCAAAAGCTCCTATCTGCTAAGCGCCCCTCGATATTAGAAGATAAAGGTCTTGGCTCTTGGCAGCGGGACACATGATGAATCAGGAAGGTATGGTAAAGAGGTGTGTATGGCTTCTGCATGAACGGACATGCCCGTGCGGGGTTATTCCCTAAGGCTGGCACATTATCCGACCAACTCGCTTATCTACCCCTACCGGATCTCTGTCGTATCTCAACCTCCTTCCTGAACGGATTCGCGTACCTGGATAGCGTAGGGGTGCTTGCAGACCGTTAACTTTGGTGTTAAGAGTCGCTACATCGATAGCTCGATGGCCTCCAGGGGCGAATCTCTTGTCAGGTGCCTGTTTGGGTGTAACACCGTGGGGGCAATGTCTTGTGAGGTGCCCTATGGGGTTTACCTTTCCGATACTCTTGAAACGTAGCACCCCGGGGTAAACATGCCTTGCAGCGGAAGAGGAAGGAGATATTCTGGTTAGCGGTCGATCCAATTTACAGCTCTTGTGAGGTGCCTTTTGGAGACTACCTTTCTGATACTGCAAGCACGTGGGACCACACCACGTAGCGGATGAGGAAGGAGGCAGTTCGTCGCCGTGTATGCGAGCTAGGGCTCTATCTTGCACAGCAATGGACGAGGATATGATGCAAGTCACGACGCCAGAGGTGGACGAACAAGTATAAGTATAGGAGGGTATTCCCGTCGTTTTCAAATCATCACTCTCATCAGTGTCACTCACTCTACTACCTTCGCTCTCGCCTCTACAACATCAAACGTTCGGTATCTTCACCAT